ATTCAGAAAATGTATATGCTTTCAAAAAACATTGCATTTAACTGAAATACACACACATATGTGTAAAATAAGTACATAGACAAATATACAAAAACTCCCTCAAAAACCTGTTGAGGAAGCCTGAACAGTACAGCTCTGATTCTGCTTTTATTTGTGGCATTTCACATCTGGAGTAGTATTGTGGAATTCAATGACTGTAGAAGTCATGTAAGAACAAATCATGTGTTTGAAGGCAGGAACTGAAATGCAGAGAAGTAAATGGGGTTGCTGTTGGATTAAATAGTTGTCCAGTCCATAAATACTGTAAACTCCTAAGAGAAAACACATTAAAAAATGCTACCAGCATGAGCAGAATTAAAAAGTAGTATCCTATAAAAGGCACAGCAGTGATGCAAAGTGTCTTTTTATTTTATTCTCTCTCTCCACTCCTAAGGTAGAGTAATTCTTGCTGAGTTCAGCTGGATTTGCATGGGTGTAACATTAGATCAAAATTAGGCCCAGGTTGTTTTTTTTTACCAAAAGCTCATGTCTCAGAAGATTGCTTTAGTGTTTCCCCACAGAAACAGTCAGAGGTACATCTAAGGCTGGGCACTGCCAAGACCTGGAATTCAAATGAGAATTTCTGGCAGACTGAGTGGTCCCATTAATCGCAGGTGGTGTCTCTGAGACACTCAATTACAAGAGATTAGTGGGAAATTGTAGCAGTGGACTGAAGGAGTAATGACACATAGGAAGTGAAGCAGAAAACATTCTTTCTTCTTTTAAAAGAAGCTCAGTTTATACGTTTTTAAGTATAAACTGCAAGCATAAAGTATTAGCATTCTTAAACTTCACTCTTCAGTTAGTTTCAATTTAACCATACAGTATTTCTGAGTTCCCCAGAGCAGCACCGTGATCTTCAGCCTGACTGTTCCTTAAATTGAGCTGAAATCTTTTAAGTTCACTAAGTTCCTGTGCTATCCCCATAGCTGGCTGAGTTACATTTGCCCATTCTTGTGCTACCTCCCCTGTGGTGTGGATTTTCAGGGACCAGCACAGACTCTGAGCCTCCCCTGCTTACTCCCAGCTATAAATTGCATGAAGGACTGTGAAACAACAGAGCAGGAGGCCATGGTCTCCCATCATTTCTACTGCTGTTAGCTGATTTACTCTTGTTGTAACCACTGTTGAGAAACGCTTTGCCTGAATCCTTGGATTTAGGTTACAAGCACAATAATGTTTTATAATGGGGTGTGGAAAAAATGGCTACTGCCAGTTCTTTGAGTCCAGGCAGTGGCTGAATGTCTCAGTGTGCCTGGCAGTGAAGTAAGCTGTGATTCTGCCTCCTGTACAGGTGGACAGTGTGAAATAGACTGTACCAAAAGCTCATTCATACTGCATTTGGATACAGCCATCAGGAGGGATCCTAGATCCCCAACCGCAGGCTGATTCCCAGACCACAAGCTTGCCTGTCTTTTTAGAAGATATATCTTGCTTAGATGTTTTAAAGTCTGTTTCAGTCTGCCTAGTTTATTGTGCCACCGTTACATATGTAGTTCTGAACGTGTTTGTCCGGACTGAAGTTTGCCTGTATTTTGCTTGCCCGTTGGGATTTTGTTATAGCCACAGCTCCCGTGGCGTATAGGGGACATATAGTCTGTACAGATGGGCTCTAATTGTTTTCTCAATTAATGTAATGTAAATCAGGAGTAATTTGAAAGGATTGCACTAATGTGAAACTGGCCTAGAAGAACATTTTAGTGCCTACAAACTACCAGTTGAGTTCAAATAATCTTTTGTTACTGCTTGTATTCTGTGTCCATGACACTCATGTGCCTAGCTTTATTTTTACTGGCAAGTGATTTTTGCTGGAGACTGTCACACGGATCTGTGTGTGTGTGCACTATGGAATTTGGACCAGGCACTGTGCTGCCCAGAAAGAGCATTTTTATTATGCTTGGAGCAAAAATAATAACCTTAGGCAGCCTACAATGTAGGCATCTATATCTCAGCTAAACTTTTAAGATGCCTGTGGTGCTATAGAGAAAGCAAGAGATATTTGTGGAGTTCATCTGTTATAAAACAGAACATGCAAATTAAGTGCTAGAAATGTTTGTTCCTCTCTACTGCCTGCAAAGGGGTCAGACAACTGATTCAGATGGAGACAGCTCCTGCAGGCTGATCTAAAAGGGGGCGAGCAGAATTACCTATGATATGTTGTCCCAAGGCACGCAGACATCTTCATGATGAGTAAGAAGTGATCCAGCTAAGAGGATACCCACGTGTAATCGATATGATATTCCTCTGCCCTAACACATATGAATGTGGTCTTTTCCAAGGTAAACTATTCTAGGATTCTGTGTAGACATGGCACTTAGGGACATGGCTTAGTGGTGGACTTTGAAGTAATATGTTAACAGCTGAACTCAGGATATTATGGGGTTTTTTTCCAACCCATGTGATTCTGTGATTCTGTGAACCATTCCATCTCAAAACAAAAATCCCCAATATACAGGAAGTACAAAAGTTCATGGTAATAGCAGTATTTTTCTTGAGAAATGTCTATATTTTGCAGTGTTGAGGAGAAATATATGCTGTTTGATAGTTTCTGGGGCTTCTGAGTTGAGCACACTTATTTCTTTTATTTTTTTTTAGTGGAGGTTCATTCAGTTTATCTGATGCTAGTAAATTTTTAGGATTTCAGTTAAGCTGGTATTTTACTCTTGAGAAAGAGGAACCTGATGCTTCTATCAATATAGCAGTTGGAAGTTTGGAGGATTTGCAGTATTACTTCAGTAAGAAGTGCCAGGTATTAATCTGATTTTATGTGAACAGGTTTAAATCCAGACCCATGCCAGTGATATTATACCATAGCAAAGCCAGTGTAGGTGCTGGTAAAACTTCATGCCCATACAGCTTGAGGTCAGAAAGAATTCTTAGACTGCCTGTCTATGAAAGGTGATTACATTTCACACACTGTCCATTCTCCAAAACCCAAAACAACTTAGCCCAGAGTTTTCAGTTAACTCTCCTTCGCACACAAAGATCAAGAATCTGAAGGACATGGTTTCACAGCAGACAAAAATACACATCGACTTATAGGGAAAGAGCAAAAAAAGCAAGTGAGTATTTTATTTAAAGTAGTTGAAGAATACCATTTATTTTGTTTTCCAGCAGATCAGTCTAATACTTGTGATATTGGTATCTACTTAGAAATGTGGGACACAGTGAAAGAAAGCCAAAGGCATATGAAGTTGAAAATAAGAAAACAGCACAAGATTGATACTGCTCTTTGTTTTCTTGCTCCCCATGGATTTATAGTTGTACTCTCTTCCTTTCCTGCTAACGTGACCAGTGCTTCCCTTCTGATCTTCCAGGAGACCTAGGGCTGGAATAAACAGACCTTGCCCAGCTCATGTGGTCTGAGCGGGTGTGTTGACTGCTGTTGTCCTCAGCAGAAGTCAGCTCAGCTTAGGGTTGGGTCCAGAAGAATGCCTTTGGCAAGACATTAGAGGTGGCTTTTTACAGTTAGAGGTTAGGTTTCATAAGCAGCTCAGTTGAGCAGGAGGAGAACACATTTCTACCCAAGCAGTATTTTTCCTTTTTTCCTCAGATAATTCTGTAAAACTGAAATTGCGTGGGCAGAATTTGTGCCCGTTTCACCATTTAATGACAACTTGTTTTCCAGGTTAAAATACTGGAGTTAAATTACCAGTTTGACTCACTGACAGAGAAGATGTCACAGAAATACTGAATAATATCAGTTAATCTCTGGTCTCATTCTGTTGTCTTCAAAGGAGTTCTGTCAAAAATGAATCTTCCCAGATTTTACTTCTCAAAGTAGCTGATTTATTTGCATGTGAGATGAGCTTGGGTCAGCATGAAATGAGACCTACATACAATGAGCACCAGTCTCAGTGAGACCAACAGGAACTGCAGCCCAGCTTCTTGGGCTACAACCTCCTCCTGGAATGCGTCTGCTGTTCCAGCAGCAGATGTGCTCCCACCCTATGCTGACATGACCCTTTGTGGTCATTTGCATGCCAAATGTGGGTGGGTTTGATAGAAATGACATACGATTAAGGAGTATTAACATAAAAGTTCTGTCTAGTTCTAGTTGGTGTGAAAGCCAATCTGCTCTAGGAGAAGGTGTGTGCAGGTGTGACTAGAATTGGCAGAGGTGATGTTTGCCCTCCAAAGTCAGGAGCTGACATGCCTGCAGATGGTGAATTTATAGGGAAAACCAAAGCTAGATTGATTGTCATCAGTTCCACTTACATCTAAATTGCTTACCAACTCAGCTAAGGATACAGCATAACCTCTTTAAATCTATGAAGATTTATTTTTGTCTCAGGAATAACATCTTATTATGTAGCTATTTAATGAGTTGTGAGCTAACATGTTTTAACAAATCTTTTATCGCTTATTACATGCACTCCCTTGATGGTAATTTCAAAATCTGACCATTAAAATGGGACTCTTTTCACAACTCTTTGATGATGGCATTCAGAATTCTGCATTTCATCTTTGTGTTTGGATTAGAATTGTAAAGGTGTAAATTATAGATCTGGCTTTTATGGGCTCTTATTGATCAGGCTGCTTGGTAGAAACCACAGCAGTTCTGAAAGCTTAGCAGTCTAGAATACCTTTCAGCTTTCTTAATTGGGCCACCAGGGTACAGTTAATTTTCAATTTATATTGAGGGTAAGACAAGGTGATGTAATACTTCCTCATTGTACTTGAGTAGCATCGACACTAAAACACCGTGATGTGCATTGTAATTCTCAATACACAAGTTGCTTGTTGAAATAGATTGAGAGTTCTGGCTTCATTCACTCCATAGTTTAGGACAAATTCTGCCTTATACTTCCTGCATGTTCACTGACTTCCAGTGAGACACTATCTATAACAAACAAATATGGTTTGGTCAAGTGTAGCTGGAAAATTCATTCAGCATACCAGTTACAGAACAACCAACAGACTAATGAATTGTGCTTGTCTTTTTGTGTGTTTGCTGACAGGTCAAAGTCATGGTGCGCATTTCTTCCACGCTTGCCAGAGACACGTCTGAGTCCAGCTCTTTCTTAAAAGTTGACCCCCGTAAGAAGCAAATCACACTGTACGACCCATTGGCCTGTGGAGGTCAGAATGCTTTCCAGAAAAGGGGCAGCCAGGTTCCACCCAAGATGTTTGCATTTGACGCAGTTTTCCCTCAAGATGCATCACAGGTAGGCCCTGTATGATCAGAAGAGTTATCTAAGGAGCAGTGTGCACCAGAGACAAATTGACTTCTGCTGCAGCAGTAGTACTTTCAGTGCTTACTTATATCAGGGCTGAATTTGGTCTGCCTGATCATCAATAATGAATTTGGTTTATTATATTTTAGCTGAATCAAGGTGTGTTTTCTTTATTCTTTACTGTAAATAATTTCTCCTAAAATTATTATTCAGTAAATGTGTTAAATGGTGCCCAATAGCCAAATCATCAATATTAAGAACTTACTTTGTATTATAAAATATTATTGTTTGGTGTTTACAGAGGTGTGATCAGAACTACAGTTTAATATAGTCCTCTAATAACTAAGGGATCAAGGATTATTTTTACAGTGTTCTATTGTACAGTTTGCAATAAGAAGATGGGGATTTTAATCCATCTTTATTTTTGAGTATGTATTCAGGTTTCTTACCTTTTTTAGACTTTGGCTTGATAAACTATTGTTACCCAAATGTCATGAGGACAGCAAAAGAGTAAAGTAACATTGCAAAGTATAATTACAAAAAAAGACTTTTTTTGTAATCATAATTTTGTAAGGCTGGCTCTGTATTCATAAATCAGAGCTAGAACACTGGGCCATCTAAAATACTGTCCCAAAATTGTATCATTAGGTCACTCCCTCACCTAGTCCTGGTCCAAGCAGCTAGCATCTTGCAGACTAATGCCAGGATGCAGTTCAAGAGCTGGGCTGTGAACAGTGCCTTTCTTGGCCCATTTTATTTTCTGTTTTAGAGATAGTCTAGAAGTAGCCATGAACTAGGGTGAATTTACCTGATATGTTGTCGGATGCAAAGTGCTTCTCATCAAGCCCTAAACTGTGAATTCTAATCAAGTTTCATTTGCTGTTAAGCAGTTGCTGCAGGAGCACTGTCGACCATGCAGCCTGCTTGAACTTTAAATCCAAGAATGCCTGGGGTAAATTTCTGTGTTGTACTTAAAATACTGCTACAGTCTTCAGAATGGAGTCTACTACTGCAGAAAGCTGAGAAGACTCATAATGTGAGGTCACCTAGCTAATTCCAAAGAGGCTCTTTGTTTCTATTACATCCCTTACTCACATGCTAGTGGAATTGAACTCAGTCCATAATTGAGAAAATAATTGAGCCTGCAAAAATTCCTCAGTGTTGGATTGTTTTTTAATCAAAACTTTTAAAATCCTTTTTAAAAAAAGTTTTTTTAAAAAACTTTAAAATTTTATTTTAAAATCCTTTGTAATGGCAGTTCTAACAAGCCAATATGTGTATTTTTTTAACTGCACAAAGGATGTTGATGTATCAGCAAATGAAACTTACTTGATCCAGAGCAAAAGTCCTGCTTCATGTGCTTGCACAAGTAAAGCCATTCCCATCAACAGCACAGGTCACATGAATGAGACAAGCAGGATTACATTTTTTGACACTTCAGCATAGTATCTGGACCAGGGAAGACATTACTACCACTTTCTGGTGAAAATAATGATTTTCCTTATTACTGTTAATGCTTTTGTTTTCTTTCTTTCTTTCCTGTTTTTTTATTTTTTTTTCTCCCCCAATACCTGTGACAGGCTGAAGTATGTGCTGGGACTGTGGCTGAGGTGATCCAGTCTGTGGTCAATGGGGCAGATGGCTGCGTGTTCTGCTTTGGTCATGCCAAGCTTGGTTGGTATTGCTAAATTTCCCTACTCAAGCAGCAATATAAATATTTTTAACCCAGGATTGCTAGTCTGTTAGGTTAAGGAAAACAAACTTTCATTTGTCTGTGTATATTAAATTAAATGTATCTTAAAGTATCTGTGCATCGTCTTGTATTACATGTTCACTTCTTGCTTACACATTTATTCATTATATATTATTTATACACATTATATATATATTTATGCACATTTATGTATTTTCTTATTGTGTAAATGTTAGACAGCATGTTCTTTGGAACAGAAGTTACCTTTGAATTATTGATTCATTTCAGACCTTAAATATTATAGCAATTTGGTCTTAGACTGTCTTCAGTCATTAATGAATGGTCCAACAGTGACTGACAGTTTTCCAGATGTGCTTGGTGTTGCTGAGGGTTTGCCCAAATGCCACTTTGATCAAGCTGCATACTATGAGTATTCACTAAAGTACTTCATGTTTGTGATGATACTCTTATGGAGTGTGACTGGGCACTCAAATAGTTTGGTTTATACTCTACTCCCTGATTAGGCAACTCACTCATTACTGACCTCTTCCTACTGTATCTCCAACAAATCTTATTCTAATGGTTAACTAAATGTTACTGATGGATCAAAGTTCACACTTTGGACATGCTTCAATAACATTTCAGGTATTCATGGAAGGGCAGTAAAAAGGCAAATCATCATCATTAACACACTATTATTTTGAAATAACTGGATTTTGAGAGTAACCACATGTTTTGTTCATGTTTATCTAATTGTACTTTGGCAGTATTGTGAATGAAGTACTTCTTGAATGAAGAGGGGTTTATTGCATGTGTGCAATGATCTCCATTCTTTACTGTCTCAAAGATCCACACATGTACACATATAACTTAGAAGGATAATTCAGTTTTGCAGGTGGTAAAGAAGATCAAGCTATATCAGGCGATGATTATCCCAAATTACAGGCAACAAAACCTGGAGAGAAAGCAGGTCTGGTACGATGAATGGAGCAGGCTGGTGTTAGTTACAGCAGAAGGCCCCTCTGGACCTTCAGGCAGGAGTGACACTAGGATGAGCTCTTAGATATTTAACCCCCCTGTGACCTGCCAAACACAAGATTCCAAATGAGATGGAAAAGGGAGCCACCAGATAACTCAGGTTATAACTCAGGCTCTCACGAGTGCTACATGTACTTTAGAGAGGTATTCTAGCTGGGGTTTTGCTGAAGCACGAGTTGAGTCTCTGCAGTTGCTTTGTTAACCGCACCACCACCATTCCACAAACCATGGACCTACCCACACCTTGACACAGACATTGCATAGAACTATTCTTTTCACTGATCTTTTTCCACATAGATTCAACATAAGAAATGAAACAAGGTAAAGAAGCCACAAGTACTTGCCTGGAAGGATGTATACCTTTATCATTAGGCTTATAAATTTATGAGCTTTAGAAAACTTACCTAAAAACATTGTATGTAGTGACATCTAAAGCAGTTTAAGATAGTACTCTGTGTCTATTCTTAATCACCAAACTTTTACAGCAAAGACAAGACAGAGTTATAGTTGCGGAGTTAAAAAATACCTAACCAGGGGATGTTTTTGACCCAGCTGAAATTTTATTTGTTGTGGACACACTTCTTCACCAAGTGATCACATATACTTGGTTGGTTTTGGGGATTTTTTTCTGAATGAAAAAAAAAAAAAATCTGTGTGATTCTGGGACCAGGTTTATGTCAATCTCAACTCCAGCATTTGAAATACAATTTAGTCCTTTGAAGTAAAAAGGTATTGAAAGAACACCACACTTACAGTATTGAAAGCAGAGGCTTTTAGAGACCATAGCACTCCTGCTCTGCTCAATTCCCTCCATGATTCAATCACTTTGCTGCAGCATTGCAAGGTGGGGGCCTGCAGCACCCTGCCTTGGGAACGGGAGATGTCAGGGGAATGCCTGAGGTAATGATTTTTGAAAAAAGCTCAAGATTCCATCTGCATTTTCCCTGTCCTATTTGTCAACCTGCCTATATTTTCCCATTGCTGACTGTCCTTGTTGTAGCGAAGTTGTTTTCATGAAGCTGTGCAGGATAATTCTCTCTTAGCAGGAGGCTCTCAAGGTCCTGGGAATGATGTTATATTTTCTTCATCCCCCCATTCCTGACAGGGAAGTCATACACCATGATTGGGAAAGATGATTCCATGCAAAACCTTGGAATAATTCCTTGTGCCATCTCGTGGCTATTCAAGTTGATTAATGAACGCAAAGAGAAGACAGGAGCGCGCTTCTCGGTCCGGATTTCTGCGGTGGAAGTGTGGGGGAAGGAGGAAAATCTGAGAGACCTGTTGTCAGAAGTGGCAACAGGCAGCCTGCAAGATGGCCAGTCCCCAGGTGTCTACCTTTGTGAAGACCCCATTTGTGGCATGCAGGTGAATCCAAGATTAATTTTACACTATAAACAAGTAACATGACTTTTTTTGTTTTTTTCTGGAGCTATTGAGATGGTTCAAATTCAAGAACTACCCAGAGTATAAAGTTTATAGACTTGAAAGTGTTTACTTTAAAACATGGAAGAACTTTATGACCTGCAGCTGCAGGGCCATCTGCTCTCCTGGCCTAAATATTTGTACCTCTGGTATATCTGATACTGAGTAAGAGCTTGTATTTGTAATAAAAAGTGAAAACATTTAGTGAAAACAAAAATTCACCTAATTCTTAAAAAAAACCCCAAAAAACCAAAAGTGTAATCTCTCTTTTAAAAAATAACAATCTAAAATATTTTCAGTACTGCAAAAATTGCTCTAGGCCATTAATGTGGCTGTTTATTTTCTTATAAACTACATTATTTATAACATTTGCATTAGCAGTGTTGTAGGGATCATTAATTGCTACTTATTAATTGCTGCCAAAAAGTAAATTCCAGAGCTGGGCAAGTCAAGAAAAACAAAAACTCTTCTCAGATTTGGAGTTTTAGCAGGAATGAGTAACTGGTTCATCTGTTTTCTGGGTAACTATAAGAAATTCTCAACAGTCTTTTTTTTCCCCCCCTCTCATGGTTTGAGGGGAAAAGAGACCTATTCTTTCATTTTGCTTTTTGTGAGGGAATAAATCTGCTTTTTGTATGAGTAGATGAAGAGGGAGCAAAAGAAGGTGCTGGAGCTTGAAAACATTCTTTCAGCTTGAAAGGCAAAGGCTGCTTCTCTTGAGAACCTGCAGAGCCCTGCTTATTCCAGAATGGGGAATGGAGGGAGAAGGGAACAGACCTACAGGGTCATATATCCTGTATCCAGCTCCAAGCATCTAGAGATCATGACTCACATCCACACGAGTCATGAACTGTGAGATTTTAAACAGCAAGTAATAAATTTTGTGTCTTATCTCTTTGTGGTTTAAGCTTTTTAGGCATACTTAGGTTATATTTTCCATTCTTTTGCATTCTGCTTCAGGACTATAAAGTTGTGTTTTGATTTTAAATAACAATTAGGGTTCTCATTTTCACTTAACTACTGACTTCAGCATTTCATGAAATACTTACTGTATCACAAGAGATCTCACCCTCTTGTATCCAGTAACTGGTGCAGTCTAATATATATGAGAGACTTGAGTCTGCACAGTTCCCGTTGGGGTGATGGATGGCTCAGTTAAGAATTCGCGTATGTACGTTGCACGTGTTATGTAACCGTGTCACAGCCAGCATCTCCTCAGAGCTTAATTCTTTACTAAGGTATTTTAGCACAATAGCAATAATAAAAAATATTCCATTATGGTAACTTATTTTCATACAGATACAGACAGTACAGCTATATACAAAATGAATTATTTTAGATCAGTGTAGAAGAGGTAGCTCTATGAAACATTTATTATCTCTGCAGTGTGAAAGATTGAATTAAATTGCAAGGAAAGAAGTCTTTTTATGTGTGCTCACAAGACATTCTGGAGTCATGTATTGTACACCTGAGTTCTCCAAATCCTCAGACGAAGGGAGGATATTATATTATAGCCATACAGATATGCAGAATCAGCAGTGTGTATAGCAAATGAGTGATCACCATATGTCATACTGTCTGTCACTGGACCTTTCCAAGTATGCACATTTTCTTGTTGCTTACATTAGCGGAATCAGCCCACAGACTGGCCTGCCTTCTGCTGGCCTTGCTAACTCCTTCCTGTCCCACTCCCTCTTTCCTGAGAGAGCTTAGCCTTCAGCTGTGTCACTGAATCCTATGCACAGCCTCAGCTTTATCCTCTCCTCAGGGATAAAGGTCACAAAGTGAAAACAGAAGCAGTCTTTGGGAGAACTTAGCTGTCAGCTATTATATAGCCGGGGAACAGACTCCATGAACATGGAGCTCCTTTCTGTTTTTATGCCAGACAAGACAAATCTATCCTATGGGCTGTAGGCCAGTTCTATGTACTGCCAAAACTAATGCCATCAGATTGCACAGTCATATGTCCCTTGCACAGACAGACTAGTCTTAGGTGCCATGAAACACGCATTCATTCCTAATATTAGGAGGGGTTAACAATATCTGCCCTCCTATGCTGTCTGTCAATTAGGAAAGTTAAGAGCAGGCTGGTGACAGGGATTGAGGTCCAGTAAATATGAATGTTTGTACATTACCTGCCTTGTTCCATTTGGTGGATTGCCCTGGCTTGTAAGCAGGTGTGTAATAAGCTTGTGGTATGAGGAGGCAAGGAAAAGGCTTCTCTTCTGGGCCGCTCTTCATATGCCATGGGGCAGGACACAAGCTTCAGTCCTGTTATTTTTGAGATTTATCTGTGGACTGGTTCCTTCTAACACTTTCTGAAGGGTAACATAGCCCTTCTGCTGCTGTTTCCCACCAGCTGTTGAGTTTGGGATTGATGTGTCTTCCACAATTTTTTCCCCCACTTCTAGCCATGAGGGTTCCTGGAGGGCATGCTACCGCCAGTGTCAGTAGGGTCTCATTCCACTGGGCACCTCCTCCTTTTTGGTCCCATTGGAAGCCAGTGTATCCACACCGTATGTTGATTGCAGGAAGTTTTTACCTGTGTGGGAATTTCTCAGTCATTTCTCCCTGGTGTTAACTGCAGCTTCAGAATCAGAGCGAGCTCCGTGCCCCTACGGCAGAGAAGGCCGCCTTCTTCCTGGACGCCGCCATCGCCTCCCGCCGCAGCAGCCAGCGGGACTGCGCTGAGGAGGATCACCGCAACTCCCACATGCTCTTCACGCTGCACATCTACCAGTACCGCATGGAGAAGAGCGGCAAAGGCGGAAGTAAGCTGTCCTCTTGCTCCTCTCTGTCTCCTACAAGGCTGCCTGGAAACTGGGCCTTCACACAATATTCTTTAGTGGTGAAAATCAGCAGAGTTTCCCATTCGGTGTGGGGAGGGGCCATTCATACAAGCAGGCTGTCCACGTGCCTGGTGAAGACCCACCAAAGGCCATTAAAGCCCACTGGGGATTATTACCATTACTTGTCATTTTAGTTGCTCTTGTGGAGACACTGACAGCTCCCAGCCATGTGTGGGCCTCTGTATCTGAAAAAAACCCCGTGCTTTTCAAATTGGCCTTTATTATTAACTTCACAGATAGCTCTGAGGTCATGGATTAAAATATTGTGGTGACTGGAATTCTTTGCCACTCTTACATTAGCTGTTCTTTGGCACCTAAGTAGTGCAGTGTGTGTGGAAGCTGATGCTGGAAATCCATAAACTGGGAACTAATGTTGACAACCCGTAAACTATACCATTGGAGATACATGATATTTTAGTTGCTGGCCCAACTGTGTGTGCACAAAGGGCTCCTGTGGTTCTTTGTAAAGAGTCTGGAGTTTTCAGATAGGCTTGTTCCCTCTCTTTGCCAAGTATGCTTTCACTGGCTTGTGTCTTACTTCCATATCCCACTTTTAAATGAGGAAAAGGTGCCTCCATGTGTACTTTTATGTTTCTATAATTTTCAAAGCTTTCTTTTTTCTCACACCATTAATATTTTTTTATTATATTTGGCTTCTGTTTCAAGTCTCCCAAATTGTTTATGACTAAAGATATACAGAGAGGGTTTTTTGTAAGTAAATTCCAATGATAAAAGATTTGTATAATATAGGAAACACCCTCACTGAAAAAGAAAACTCTGACATCAAAATTATTATTTTTATTTTTTTTAATAATCATTTTTTTAAAGGGAAAAATGTTTGTTTGAAAGACACCAGAGACATCTGCTTCTTTAAATTCATGGGCTTAAGCAATTCTGCAGAAACAGCATATGTTTCAGCTCCTGGCTCTGCATAGGTTATTGGTAATAAGAAATAGATTGCAAGGCATGATGTGTAGTGGGTGATCACCACTGCAGTATTAATGTCTAATGTTTAAATGAAGAAAATTTGCATTGACTGTACTTATAGGAGAAAAAACCAGAAAGTTGCTCTAAATGGAAATGTGGCTTGCATGTATTTAATTAATAACCCCTGTGGAATTGGCAGTCAGAAATCTCAATTATCTAAAGGTTTATTAATTAACCACCCTGCGGAAAAAAGGAAGACAGTGAATACTCAAACAGACTGGTTTGTAGGAATAAAATGGCTGATTTTGAGGGAATAATTATTGCAATTATTTAATGCTACATATTTTTTACTTTACTTACCTGTACACACAGTCCTTTTCTACTACTTTCAAACACTATTACTAAAAGGGAAAACGTTATTTTCTTATGGTTATCATTTCAGAAAAAGAAGACACGATCCTGTTGGATTAGAATAGAATTGAGAAAAGAGTAGAATTTGCCTACTACCTCTAGTTATATCTTTGTCTCATGGCCATAGCATGCTCCTGTCTTCAAGTTCCCATATCTGAGTGGCCTTACAAGCTAGGCAGGGTCAGATCCCACTGATAACTGAACGAGGGGGAATTCCAGCTGCTCAGAAAGGGCGCCTAGTGATTATCACTGTCTCCTGCTGTAATGAAGGACTTCTGAGAAAAAACCCATGAAGATAGTAGAGATATATATAGATTCCAGTAACAGGATTAAAAAAGGATAGGAAGAAAGGGGAAAAAAAAGAAACCCAGCTTCTAAGGGATAAGAGATTAAAGGGCTGGCTAACGTGTGATTTTGGTAAAAAATGACTGTTAGAATAAGGCTTTGGTACTGTACTTACTTCCTTGTTAGATTCATTACCAGGAATGTCATGAAGCAGGCTTAGCACCATTGAAATAAATGACAATGTGGCAGAACTGGATCACTGTCATTTTTCAGCTGTCAGCTCTGCAAAGTCTCTGTGACCATAGGCAAAACAAGTGTTAGAATGTTCCACTTCTTTATAGTAGCCAGGCACATTAGTGGATAACCTGCCTAAAAAATAACTTCATTTTCAGATTAATCAAGTGTATCTACAATCTTAAAAATATTACTTCAACATGTAAATTAAATAAGAAAGAAACAACTGTTAAGTTACCTTATTCTGGATTTCCTCAAGTTGTATAATAGGAGTGTATGTGGAAACAATATGACAGCTTTTGAAAGGTAGTGATTTCTTCCATTTTCTTTTGTTTCCCTGACATCTGGTAATCTTAGCAACAGAAATATTTACTATATATGATTCAGTACAGTCACCTACAGACATTTGGAGTAGCAATTAAATACATTTCTTTGTTTTTCTAAATAAATGACTGGAAGACACTCAAGTAAGGAATTCCAGACTTCTGAGGATAGTGGTGTTAGAGGACTCAGGACTCTTTAAGGGTTTTAAGGACTCTTAGACGGGAGACTAGGTTCCCCATAATCATTTCAGAGGGGCAGGTGCCTTACTGGTTCCCCAAGGCAGCCTAATTTTCTGCAGTCAGTGCAGGAGCCCTTAGTGTCTGTGGATACTTTCTGGTGAGAGGAATACATGGAAGTCCAGTACTGCATAACACCTGATAGAGCTGAAGAGGACTAAGAGGACTTTAAAGCAGCAGAAGTCACTGTATTTGAACAATCGCTGACAGCAATACTGGATACACTTTTGGAATATGAGTCACAAATCCCATAGGAGGTCTTCTGTCTTCATTCATCTTCTCTCTTTTTTCATACCAAATGTGTAGGTTGAGATCCTGTGTCAAAATGGCTTTGAATTAACTTGCATAGAGGTAAACTCAGATGTGAAAGTATTTCTGCTGCTGTTTAAGGTGTTTGTGCCCCCATATATTGATATTACCTCTCTCTTCCAACCTAGTGAATCTGTTCTGTTTTATACCTATTGAGTTAAGATCCTAGAAATAAATCTGCCTTTTCCTATAGACTGCTTCTAAACTAACTCTTGAGAATGGGGAGGCATGGTCCCAGATCAGATGAAAAAACTCAGCTAGGAAATTGTCTTGAGATGGTAGAGAGCTAGAAGCACTTCTGTGAAGTCTACATAGTTCCCATCCCGGATTCATACGGTACCATAGACTTTTAAAGAGAACAAATGCTATTAATCTTGGTGTTTCATCTTTTCACTCTGGAAGTAGTGTGTTGATGCAGAGTAAACAAGAAAAAAAAACCATAAAGATCTATTGCTGGTTTTATAGAAACTGTTCTTAAACAGAGGTACTACATCACAATCCATCACCCATGTCTTGGCAAACTTTTCTTAGCTGTAATGATCCTGTGAAAGTATATAGGCTTGAAGAAAAGTTGAACACCCCACAGATGCCACAGTGTCTTCTTAAGATACAGTATTCAGGATGGAAAAAATAAGAGAAGTATCCTTGCTTACTAAGTGGTGAATTCCCAGCCTGTAGTTTTCCAGACATAAAAACAGTGGTGACAGAGCCAGAAAAAGCGCCAACTCAGGTACAGGCTAATAGAGCTATATTTAAAAAAATATAGTCACATTGGTGAGTTAAGCCTGCAGGACTGAGTACTCAGCAATTTTTAAGCAGGTGCGGAGTAGGCAGCAATGTACAGCAGTGTACGGCCATGAAGGCTGAGAGTGTGTTGGCAGTACCCCTACAGCCGTGTCTGCTAACAGGAATTAGGGAAGGCTCCTGGGTTGTTTCCTCTTCACAAGTCATGGTGAGTCTTTTGCTTTCCTGGGAAGCTGCTTTTGGAGGCCCACACTAACTGTCTGCTTTCTTTGTTTATGGCAGTGTCTGGAGGTCGCAGCCGCTTGCACCTTATTGACCTGGGCAGCTGCGTGAAAGTGCTCAGCAAAAACCGCGAGGGAAGCTCTGGCCTCTGTCTCTCTTTGCCTGCGCTGGGCAATGTCATCCTCGCCCTTGTCAATGGGAGCAAACACATCCCGTACAAGTAAGTGGTGGTCTGGGTTGTGCCTAATGAGAGGATGCTTGAAAGCAGTTTGTCTGTCTGGGCCTGAGGCAGATTTGGGTAAGGAGGAAAACAGTCTGCTGGGGTCAGTGCCGCCCTCTTGAGCCACGGCAAAAGCTGCCTGTGGTTCAGTGGCACCTTATCTGGCCTTACACGTGGTAGCTACACTGTGTTTAGCAAATAGGTTTCAGAGGAAGAAGCCTGCTGAAATAGGACCCAGGTGGCTGAAAGATCTTAAGGTTTGAAGTTCAACACATTAGGGTTTTGTTTTCTGTGGCTGTTCAAAGATTTTTTTAATGTTTCAAGGCATATGAGAGGGTTTCATATTTGTTCCAAGGGGAGGAACATTTCTGACATAATGAAGCCCTGTGGAGAAAATTATCTTGCTGTCCATTGTATGGAATTTACTTTCTTGGAAATACATGTCAAAATGAGCATGCACATTTGTCATGAGATTCCTTCTGTGATATAATGTTACTTTGTGGTTTGTTTTTTTTTTTATGGTTTCAATCTCAGTGTCAGCTTTTCCTATGCAAAAAAAGAAGTAGGCCCTATTTGCCACAGTAAACCAGTGGCCTTTGCTACTCCAGGTGGCTTCTGGGAAACAAGAAGAGTTGCTCACCTAGTGGGCATTCCTTGTGCTCATTTCTCGTCATCACTCTCCCTATGTGTCATGTGTGCAGGTCTGAGGGGAAGCTTGGATTAATTTTCCAGCCCAGGGAGTCACACTGCCTTCCTATTGAGAAGTTTCTGATTTTGTGGGCAGTGTTGCTTTTTTCTAGCCTAGAACCTAGGGAGCAGCAGCTAGCATCATGGGAATGGCTTCCAGTGGCATCTTGTGATCAAACTGTCAATGAATGTCGCTGTTCATTAGGGACAGGTGAATAACTTCAGGAGTTAGGAACAACAGAATGACATGGAGAATGAACCAAGTCATCCACAGAGTAATATTTCAGTCCATGCATTTTACCCTTTTTAGCATTTAAAAGGCTGCAAACACGATAATTTACACATGTTCATTCAAGATTGCTTCTTGGTTTTTGTCTTCATTTTGGAAAGTAAAAATTAATTGATACTGGTTATAATTCTGTTTCTCTTCCAACCTTTAGTTTCAAAAATTATTTGGTAGTCTGGACTTAAAACATGCTTTCTGGAAATATTCCATTCCTTGAGCTCAATCAGGCTGGAATTCAGTTAATGACTAACCACATTTCTATGTATAAATATTCATTAAATGTTTTGTCATATGCACCTTGTCATAGCATGAAAATAGCTTGAATTCTGCACTTCACAAAGTGTAACTCAGGCAATGCTTATGAAAAACCTGTCTTCTTTCCTGTTGGATTTTATGGATTGAAGAGAAGCTCACCGGAAGAAATACAAAAGATAACGCTGGTAATGCTTGCTAGGCCAGAACTAAACATACAAGGAAGAGTTACCAAATACAACAATTGTCTTTCCTTGCAATGACTGACCAGGAGAAAAGCATTACCAAACACATCTTCTAATTGCTATGTGTTCAATCACTTTTTTTGTGACTCCCAGCTGTTGCACTTGTGAGCCTACACAGCCAGAGATGTCAGCATATTTTCTTATCAATGTCTGCAGTGCTGAAAGAAGATCAAAGCTCTCTTCAGGTCACAATCCCCTCTTTGGTTCACTCCTAATAAGAATTATTCCTATAAGAAGATATCATAGAGTGTAGAGAAGTGATTGGTCATCTGTAAATCAGTCAATGTCCTGTTTCTAAGAGGACTTCTAAAATACAATTTGAAAAATATACTGGCATATTTTGGAGCAAACCTTTTCTTCCTCTTACTGAGCAGAATCCAGAAAACAATTTTTTCCCATATGTGGTCTATTCCTGAGCAATGGAAATAAGAGTTTTGGTGGCTGGATGAGCACAGACACGATTAGCTCAGTGATCTGTCAGTACAGGTGTGCCCTGCTCCTCAGTGGAGGAGGGGGAGTCCTTCCCTCAGAGGAAAGGGAATCTGGATGTGCATGTGCTGCATTGTAGAAGTGGCTTAGTACTGCACAGAGACGATATGTGTTCAGTGGCACCTCTTGTTTAGAGCAGTGACTAGCCTCTCTAACTGGGGTAATTCCTCTTTCTCTAGAGGGTGTTCTCTTTCACTGTTAAATATAAAATTATATTTTTGTTAACTGCCCTTTTTGAGTGGGACCAAAGGAAAACAATGGAAGCGTTTTCTTATGTGACAGCTCTGCACATTGTGTGTGGTCTCAGTAAATTTCCACAGAGCATCAGACAAAATGGAGCATCTTTTCTGTATCTGAGCTATTAAACAGCCATTAAGTATTTTATGGCAGGCTGTCAGTAGGCACTGCATGGCTTCCTGGGAACCTGGAAACTCACAATCCATAGTTTTTATCTTACTGCAAAAATTTGGTTCTCTAAACTCTGAGAAGCTGCAGGCTCTTAAATTCACTTCAGTTTTGTATCCAGCTTTATCTCCACAGGTAGTAGTTGTAGAGAAAAGCTTGTTCAGATTCATAGCTGGTGTAAGCAGATGCCACTGCATTGCCTTCAGTGGTGTCTGTATTTGTGCCAGGGATGAATTTGCTTCTCCACCTGCAGTCTCTATGAGAAACACATGCTGTTTTTCAGCACATGTTGCTTTTCTTTCATTTTTACCCATAAGGCTAAGCCTTGGAAATTATTCAGTTGCAATCTTTCTCCCTTGGGAAGAGCCTCCCATACACTCCCATTTTGGGAATAGTAACAAAGATTTATGCTAGCTTTAGAAGGAACTTGCTTTCTGAAGTTGTAAGAAAGTAATTTAGAAATTCTCAGACATCAAACAATATGGTTTGATATGGTTTGGGGGCACTTGTCTTGTATTCAAATGAAATTTCACATGGATGTGAAGACGGGACAAGAATCCATACAGGGGGCAAATACTTGCAGTTAATGAGTGACCAGACCATGATTTCTGGGAGTTTGTATATGTCATATATGAACTTTTAATCTCTCTCTAACCTCTGTCTATTATTGTCACTATTTCCAGACCTGTTTTCAACCTTAGAAAACACATTGTTCTGTCATGGTATGAACCACTGAGTTCTTCCAGCTCAGTGCCATATATAAAAATAGAATTTTTATTTGATTTAATTATTTGATTTTTTATTTGATTGCCATTTTATGTCACCAGTTCGTTTTGCTCTTGAGGTATGAAGAAATCCTTCAGAAGATTGGGCAAGAATTATTTTCTCCATGGGAATGTCAAATATCTTCAAAAAAATTGGAAAGGGGTACTTGCAAGCTCAAGGAAGAGCAAGGGTGTCAGTTCCTGGACTGACCAAATATGGTTGGGCTTAGATCTGCTACAGAAGGGTTTTGCTAAGATGCAGTAATTTATTTCAGTTTTATGTTAGTGCTGCATTATCTGCCTCTGATTTTCAAGATGAATGTGTTTTAAACCCTCAAATGAATACCCATTTGCACAAACTCCAGATACTGGTTTATATAGCTCACTATTCAAAAATTACTCCAGTTGCTAGGCAACATGGGTGGTGATAATTCCCAGTTGCTAGGCAACATGGGTGGTGATAATTCATGGTAATGCTGTTTTGGAAATAATCATTTTTATGCATTTTAATGATTGTGAGAATATAAGAAGACTGTTTAGAAAAGTGCAAGGCTGTATGTATTTCTCTTCCAGAAATTGTTGCTTGTTTTATTTAATGGGCTTCTCTCTTAACATGTTGTCCCAATGTGTTAGTGTTTCTAGAGGCATCCTGTATTTTGAACTACATGCTTATGCTTATCCAAGGAGGGAATCTTGTCTGTAAAATAGATGGGTGTGAGTTACAAGCATGAATTTTATTCTTGGCACTTCTGCTTCTCTGTCATATGGTTGCATTTCCTCCCAAATCTTACATGCTGGTATTGCTTTATTCAATCCTATATGCAGAAAATAAAATTTTATTAAGTGACTACTGCAAGGTTGCACAAGAGGCTTCTTGGCAGAGCCATGTAAGATCTAATCTGGTGCTTAAAGCATGGGTTAATCCATTCCTTCTTTCTGCATGACCTTTGGAAAATAATTTATTCAGGTGTTTATTTCTTTATTCACATTTATAAAACTGAATTAGAAAAAAAATTAAAATAGGATTTGTAAAGGGCATTCAGAGTTGGCAAAAAGCACTGTGTACTTTTTCACTATTGCTAGGACTGTTACCCTATTTTTCCCCTTTCTTCAGAGTTAATGACTCACATAAATAATCCTAATGGCATGCAGAATATGAGGGGGGTTTTTGGTCAAATGTAGAATATTATTGTTTTTAAGTAAAGAGAATGGGAAAGGTGTTGGATTATAGTGTTGTGGTATACTAGTTTAAAGAATGAGTTATATGTCACATATTTTCTTTAAATTCTTAGTTAATTATGGGAAAAAATGAAAATGGGGTTTGGATGGATCTAGTACCTCAGTTTCTTTTCTTAGTTAGAAGGGTGTATCTATGTATGGTTGTTACATCTTTGTAAAAATCTGCATGTGAGAAGAACTGAAATGCCAAGTATCTTGTTTATATGTCTTGCCTTTGCATTTTTAGCATGAGTTACATTATTTTTCTGAGAAAAGATGTTAGGATTTTCAGAAATATGTTAGGAGTTTCTTGGACAATAATTTGTATTAGTACTGGAGATTTCCCCCTTATTTTTGAGCTTGTACTAAGTCCTAGGTTTATTGAATTCACACAACCATGTCTGCTTACTAGGTCTAAGAATTTAATGACACATTTGAGCTATGTGTCCAATGAGCAGACTATTAATGGTTACTTCATCAGAACCTGAAACTAGTTTGGTTTTTTTTTTAAACTAGATTTTTTTGATTTTTCAATCAAGAAACTTGAATATCTTTTACTTTCCACTGCTTCATCTATGTCTTCTATTCCTTAATATTTGCACCTCCTCAATGAGAATATGGTACAAAGATCATAGCCTCAAAAAAAAAAATATG